TTCTCACAATTATTGCTTTAGTCAATTTGCATTCATTCTACAGAAAACCATGTTCCTGTGACAATTTGTAAAGTAAAAAAAATATGCTTAATTCTTGGTTACTTTAGGACTGTTTCCTGACTATTTCATTCCAGGACAAGATACATTTTTAATTTGAGTCTCCTCCTGTGTTTTCATTAAGTTTGAGTCATAAGGAGAGAAATTCACTTTGATCTTATTTTCAATTCTTGACAACCCTAGGTGTACACTAGAAATTACCATTGTTCTCCTTGTATGACAAATTTTTAGCCATAGCCTTTAGAAATTAAGGGACTGTAATTGATTCAGGTGCTACATCTATGTGGTCCCTATGAAGTGGCCACCATTGTCACTAATGGACTTGGCCTGTGGCACACTCACAATCTACCCCCATTTTCTCATGAGGATTTCTTTAACAGTATGAAAAAAAAGGATCTCTGATCATTGACCAATCTTCTCCTTTCTATTTCCCGTCACATTTATCTCCTGATTCATTTGTTCATGAAATGATACATTCTAAATTCAGAAATAATTATATATATCATATATATAATTCTAAATTCAGAAATATATATATCATAGTGTATTTACCTGTGTTCTTCCATAGCTTTTCTGTGAAAGCTTATTGTATCATGTTATTAAAGACTATGAAAAGGTCTCATATTGGATCATAAAATGAATTGGTGACTAAAAGTTTATAGAGGTACACACTTGATTTGGTCTCTATAAGACAAATTAATTGGTAAGAACATAAAGACATTTATAGGCTGTGATATATCTCAGTGATAAAGAACTTTCTTAGCATGTGCAAGGCATTGGACTCAATCCACAATATGGTATACACACACACACACACACACACAGAGAGAGAGAGAGAGAGAGAGACAGAGACAGAGACAGAGACAGAGACAGAGAGACAGAGAAATTTAAAAGTTAACTACTTTCCAAATATTTACCATGTTCTCTTTTAACCTTCTGGAAAGCAATTAAGAGCAATAACCAGACTGAAGAAGTTTGAATATTCCCAATGCTAATTTTCTAACTTACAAAGCTTTAGCAGTAAATTGTTTGTTGGTTATTTTGTTTGTTTTGCTTTGACAGGTGCTTGTTTTGTAGCCTGGGTTAGCTTTAAGCTTTTTATGTAGTTCAGGTTGGCTATGAGCTTGCAATCTTTCTACTTTGGCCTTTTGAGTGCAAGTATTACAGGCATACAGCAGCCTACCCAGCCGGAACAAGTTTCTTTTTAAACCTTCATGTCTCAGTTTCTATATCGATGGAATTAGGGAGTAATGTTACTTGTTACAGTGTTATTGTAAAGAATAAAATTTCAGTTTGTATTCTTATATACATAGCATTAAACAAATGTTAGGCATTTTGTTTTGTACATGATGCCCTGCTCATCATACCTTATCCTTATTCATTTATTAACCATAATAGCAAAAATTTACAGAGACATTATACTAGTCAGGATTCCCTAGGATCCAAGTAGGAGGGGGAAAGAGATGGATGATAGATGGGAGAGGGGCCAGGAAAGGAAGAAGAGTGGGAGAGAAAAAGAGAAAAAAAGAGAGAGAGGATAGATAATGGATAGATAGACAGATAGATGGATGAGAGAGAGAGAGAGAGAGA